GGGGGGGGGGGATGACAGTAGGGGTGAGGAAGGTTGTAAGAGAGTTTTGAAAAATATTTTTCCTCCTAGTGGTCGGTGAAAAATGTTAGAAAAATATTTTCAAGTACATTTAAGCCAATTAAATATGAAAAAATTAAAAATATTTTTAAAAAATATTTTTTTTCATGCCAAACACACCCTATCAAGGAAAGAGTATTGTGCCTAAGAATACAAAAAACAGAAAGATTGCTGGTTCTACGGTCTATGAAAGGGAATTATAGGAATAAAAAGGAAAATTACTTTATATTAAAGAGTTTTCTTTGGTGGATCATGGATGATAAAGCGATACATTAAAAGATAAGAGAGAGTTGTTCAGGTGATACAACTTCAATCCTAATATTATGAGTTCGAATCACTAAGAGATAATATTGGAAGTTTGTGAGAGGGGTTAAAAAAAGGTTGCCCATAAAATGGATCCCATTAATAATCTTTTATATCCAGCATATAATTGTACAAATTCTATCATCACGTAAATAAAAGGAAATAATTTAAGGAAAAAAAGAGAAAATGTTTTGATGAGAAGAAATATTAATGTTTTTGACTAATAGTTCTTATATTAGGATATTAGGAAAAAGGAGATCACAAGGAAAAAACACAAGATAAGGTAGATACATGTCATTCTCAACCTACCCAGAAACAAAAAGTAGAAAAAGAGTCCAGAAAAAGTGCAAGAGTCTTGATACACTGGACCTACCAATTAAAGTAATATACTTGCATTTGATTTTTCATACATAATTTGGCCAATAAAATTACTGTTATGCCATTCTTGTACTATATAATATTCTTACCAGTAAATACTCGTCATTAAGGGTATACAATATTACAACTAACTGTATTTTTGTATTACCTTATCCATAAGCAAATGTACACTTAGCAATTGTTCGTTATATCAGCATAATATTATTATTTATTTGTTTTCAAGTTTTGTAGATATATTTTCCAATAATATCTATAAAAAAGGTGACACACTTTGTAGTATATGTGTCTAACAAGTTCAAATATTTTTTATGACTTGATCTATGTTTATAAAAGGGATAAAATATATATATACCAAACTATTTATGGATACGTTCATTAATTTTTTCCCTTAATTTTGCTGGAAATTTAAGGAAAAAGGAAACAAAAATCGTACTTTGCATAAAAGCTGTAAATGATCAATCTACTAGGAAGTTATCACTTAATCCTCTACCTATTAGAATTTTAAAAGCAAAAAGTATCACAAATACAAAAAAATTAATTTCAATCTTTAAACATAAAAATTTAAGTGGAAAACGAGTGACTTATTAGAAGAGTAAAAACTAGTAACACTTCAATATATTTTAATGGATTGAAGGACTATTTTTTTAGTAGTTAAATTGAAGGACTTTCACATATCCTTTCCTGGATTCTGCGCATAGCGGGAACTTAATACATGAGATTGTCTTTTTTCTTAGATTGAAAGACTTTCACATTAGCTTGAGTGAGGAAAATCAACTGTAGGTGGAGTTAGAACACATGAATATAAATTTTAGAGAAAAACAAAAAAAATGATCTCTGTACTTATTTTTGTTTTTTAGAGTAATCACTCGATATCCTGTATTTATATTTGGGGCCCGACTAAATTTGAATTTACACCGAAAAATTCTGTATTAGGGTAAAATACTCTCTAACAAAGGGTATTTCATACCGGACTCAAACTCGTAACGTATGGACAAGGACGAAGAGTACTTGCCGCTCCGCCGTGGCCCTCCTTGTTGGTGAACTGCTTAGACTTTATTACCCCAACAACATTATTTTATTTAAAACAAACAAAAACGAAAAGACAAAATAAAACTCTTCAAATTTCGGGTTTTAAAGATCGATCAGTGTATATTCTCTTTCCTTTTTTCTTCTCCATATTTACCTTAGAGAAGAAAAAAGGGGTTTTGGGTTTGAGTTGTTAGGGGATTGTTGGTGCTATGGCTACTGCGGAAGCCCTTTATGTGATTCCTTCAGCTGTTCTGCGTAACCTTTCTGATAAGCTCTATGAGAAGCGCAAGAATGCTGCTTTGGAGGTATACTTTTTTCTCCATTTCTTCAAATTTTGTGTTATATTCCTTGAGAGGTAGGGGTATCTGTGTACACATTACCCTCCCTAGACCCGACATGTGGGATTATACTAGGTATGTTGTTGTGGTTGTTGTATTCCTTGAGTTTAAGCTGTAACATTGATTGGTCACCTAGAACAGATGAAAAGTAACCTGCTATAATAGGTTAAAATTAGACTGATGGTGTAAAAAAGTTCATTACACTGTTATAGTGTATAACTTAAATCCTATGTTCTTCTGTGTTTGGAATATTGAGAATTGATATGGCCTACTTAACTAGTTTTAAATTCATGCATAGTTGATGTTACTGTATTGTGTCCTTGTACTTGAAATATTGGTATTGTTTGGTTGTTCAAGATTTTGTTGTTCTTTTGGCGTTTGTGTAGTTGGAAGGGATTGTTAAGCAATTGGCTGTAGCGGGTGATCATGACAAGATTATAGCGGTAATCAATTTGTTGACACAAGAATATACCTACTCGCCTCAAGCTAATAACCGGAAAGTGAGTCTGAGTTTATTCTTAATTTGTTTGGTATGATGCAAAAAATGTTTTTCCTGGAGATTTTTTTTCTTGATTAAATGATTTTCCAATTTTTGGTTACCTTAAAGTGTGGAAAATGATTTGGAGCATATTATCTGCCAAAAGGAAGAAAATGACTTTTATTGCATGGGTGCAAATCATTTTTTACAAATGGCTCAACTCTTATTCCAGCACTTTTTCAAGCAAAAATTGGATATTGTTGTTAAAACCAGGACTACTCTCCAACTCACGCCATTATGTACACAATCATGCTCTTGTTCGAATCAAATCACTGTCAAATGATCCAGAAAATGATTTACTGAAAATAAAACATTTTCTACGGAAAGGATTTCCCGTCATATCAGAGGCACTTGTCTAACTTGTCTTCATTTAGTTTGTAAAGTGAGTTGGTCATTTGTCTTCCGTGTTCGATTTTGTGTTTAGGGAGGGTTGATCGGATTGGCTGCCGCGACAGTTGGTTTGACCTCAGAAGCAGCACAGCACCTTGAGGTAGAATGATGAAATCTGAAAACTTCCTATCAATTTTGTGCAAATGTGAGAGAATGACTGTAAGTTTTGAGTGCCATGATTTAGCAATCGGAAAGTTTGATGGTCTTGGTCCCTTTGTCTATATCTGATGAGCGCACTGTTGTTTCTAGAGAATATTCATATTTTTCTTAATGAGTTCTATGAAAATTTACTGTATTAGTTAAAGTGAAAAATTATTATGGGATGTGGATACACCATATAAGTTTGAGAGACCTATAAAAAAGTGTTACATCCATTCACAAATAGATAGAGAACCTTTTTTCTATTCGTGCAGTTCAAATATTCTGTTTTGACCATGACTTCTTTTCCCTTGATTAATAAGCAAAAAGTTTCATGAATGATCCAAAAGCCATGCACTAAGAAAGGTCTGGTCAAACGAGGAGGGACTTACAGTGGATACTTAGGAACCCAGAGACGAGGAAGGGTAGTGGCCTAGCCATGAATCTTGCCAAAAATTATCTTCCTACCATCTCCAACTTCTACCTGCAATTTTGTTTCAAAATCTGGCAAAGCTTTCTATTGTAATTAAACTCCACACCACTGGAGTAGTGAACTCTCTTTGCACACCTTTGCTAGATTCCCCATATTTCTGCTGCACTATACTTCTCCATAAAGTTGTGTCATCATTGACAAATCTCCATAAGCATTTGGTCATCAAGCTTTGATTGCGTGCTTCTAGATTCGTACACCTAAACCACTTACCCTATTGTTCATTATAACCATCTCTCATTTTCTCTTTGATCAGTAAAGTAAAATTTTATTTAAAATAAACGGTACCAAGAGTGTACAGTGTGAATTACAAAACAGACAGAATTTTACATTTTTCTCTGCTATATATTTATTTTCTGCAAGTATGAATTCATGAAAGAGAGGTAAGCTGTAAGTGTTTGCGACAATGGAGAGAGGTGTGTGTGTGAGATAAGAGAGTTAAGCCTTTTTGTCCGGGGTAAATAGGTAAGCTATTCCTTTACCTGAAACGAGAAAAACTTGAGGTTCAGCTGTGCAGGCCCTTGTTGATGAAACTTCAATTGTTTGCTGCGTACAAAAGAAGGAATTAACACTTTCACAATGTAATTTTATTATTTATCTGATGCATGCTTCCAAATTAGTTTTTGCTACAATGGCTACTTCATTGACATACAGGTGTTTCTATATGTATTGCTTTGGGAGTTTAATGATTGTATTTTTGGGCTATACTACTGAGTAGTCTGCTTTTCTCTTTATGCAATTTACTTACCCTCCGGATGCGATGTTCCAGCAAATTGTGCCATCAGTCTTGAATTCTTTCTCGGATCAAGATAGCAGAGTTCGATATTATGCATGTGAAGCTCTCTATAACATTGCAAAGGTGAGGCTTATAAAAGAGCTTGTGCTAAGATTTTGCTTTTTATCTTATGTTACCATCTCAAAAAAAAAAATAAAAAAATTTGCTTTTTATCTTGGTTTTTGGACTTTACCCATGTGACTTCTGTAGGTTGTGCGAGGAGATTTCATTGTGTTCTTCAATCAGATTTTTGATGCTTTATGTAAGCTTTCAGCCGATTCAGATGCCAATGTGCAGAGTGCTGCTCATCTTTTAGATAGGCTTGTCAAGGTAAAACAAGCTTTCTTGCACTCTTAAATGTTTTATTTCGCTTCTAAATTTTAAGGCACCGATCGTAGAAGGAAGGAGTAATGGAATATTGTTTAGAAAGATAANGGGGGGGGGGGGGGAGTCCAAAGTCAAAGTATTTGTGGTTATAAGGAGGGATTATTGCTGGTATTCAGTCAGAGTATTTGTGGTTATCTGGAGGGGTTATTGCTGGTATTCTGTTACAGTTAGAAGATCTCTCTTTCTCTATTTTTCCCCTTCTTTTTTATGTTCTCGTTATCCACAAATTCATTTTGGTGGAGTTACCCCTCTCCTTTTTGGCAAATAGTTGTTTTGATAAAAGCTTTTTAGCAAGTTTGATATTTTGATTGATCAATCTTAAATGGTAACATTGTTTTGCAACTTTTTTGGGATGCAGGACATTGTCACGTATTGCGATCAATTTAGGTGTGTTTTCTACTAGCGATATCTTCATACTTGGGGTCAATTTGAGTTTTCAGTTTGATGAAGTATTATTTGATAGATTTGATGGTACATAACGTTTCTTACTCAGCATTGAAGAATTTATTCCATTATTGAGAGAGAGAATGAATGTCCTCAACCCTTATGTCCGCCAGTTTCTCGTCGGTTGGATCACGGTTCTAGACAGTGTTCCAGATATTGATATGCTCGGGTTTCTTCCTGATTTTCTTGATGGTAAATGCTTATGTTTTGAGCTCAAAAGTTCTAGATGTGCTGTTGAATGTTCTGTTTCCGCATGTTGTCTTATTTGACATGATAAACTGCAGGATTGTTTAATATGTTGAGTGATTCCAGCCATGAAATACGGCAACAAGCTGATTCTGCACTTTCAGAGTTTCTACAAGAGATTAAGAACTCTCCAGTAAGGTTTCTTCCATGCATGGTATGTTAAGCGTTCTAATGAAGGAGTGGCGAGATTCCTGAAAACAAAGAAAAAGAAAAAAGAAAATCATAACTTGTGATTTTCTTTCTCCTAACAGCATTGTTGAGGTGTTAAGTGAGAGATATGTGGGTATCGGTATGTCTAGTTTCAGATATGGCTCGCTGTATTAGTTTTTTTTTTGAGTACTTGTGTAATGGATCTCTATCTGTATGCAATATAGGTATCTTTTCCTCCGGTTTTATTTTTGTCAATCCTTTCCAAATAAGATTATATTTTTCCCCCTAAAAAATCAGAAACAAAAATAAGAAATTAAACATATATAATTTGTTGAAAAGAAATCTTTTTTGTAACTCTTCTAACTTGAACAATGCTGATCTTGAAGTCTGTAGATTATGGTCGCATGGCTGAGATACTGGTTCAAAGATCAGGTTCACAGGATGAATTTACGCGGCTGACTGCTGTCACTTGGGTAAGGACCTTGACATCCGTAATTGCTTGTGCATCATGTAATTGAATGCTTTGCCATCTATTGACGGGAATTCTATCTGCTCTGGCTTGGGTTTCATTGGTGTTAACTAATCTAATTGGTTTATTTTGTCAATCAATTTAACCAGACTATTTGCTCTGCAGATAAATGAGTTTGTGAAACTGGGTGGAGACCAACTTGTCCCTTATTATGCTGACATTCTGGGTGCAATTTTGCCTTGTATATCTGATAAAGAAGAGAAAATAAGAGTCGTAAGTGGAAGCCTCTTTTATTTTGGTACTTAAATTTATCGCCTTCTAGTCCCACCTTCTCTTCATTGTTCTTGCTTCTTTGTGTTCCTTGTTTTTCTTTTTTTTTTTTTTCACTTTTATCTTCTGTTGTTCTGGCCTTTAGGTTGCACGTGAAACGAATGAAGAACTTCGTGGAATCAAGGCCGACCCAGCTGAGGGATTTGATGTAGGAGCAATTCTCTCCATTGTTAGGAGGTATGAAGTTACTTATATAGGGAAATCTGGTATTTAACAAGTTCACAGAAGTTTTGAGATGTTGATATTCACTGTTGTTGACTAAAATGGTTTGCACAATGCATGCAATTCAAAATTTATGGTTACCTTTATGTATTCTGTTTATCAGGCAGTTGTCAAATGAACGGGAGGCAACACGTATTGAAGCATTACACTGGATGTCAACCCTGCTAAATAGACATCGGTCAGAGGTAAAGACAAGCACTTGGATCATGGTCTCCTTTATTGTTTTGCTTGATGACCACGTTCTCTCACCAACTTGAAGGTTATGTAATTTGGAACTTGTTTGAGTGTGTACTACTTAGGCTATTTCACCTATGTATAGGCAGTGAAGTTTTGTTTATGTTGTGTGATGAAGAGGTACTAAGAGCATACTGAACTACATACTAAGGGGTCGTTTGGTTCAAATTCAGGATATTGTAGGATTATAGCTTTAGGATTATAACCTGGATAACCAATCCCGCCTTCTATATGCAATAAGTTATACCAAGATTTTGGTACAAACATAATATTGGTTTTAGCTAATACCTCCAACCAAACACGGCATAAATTTAATCCCAAAATTTATAATGGGATAACCCACCTATTCCCGTGAACCAAATGGTCCCTAAAGGTAAAGGACTATTAGGAGCCTTGCTAGTTCGTGTTTTGGTGGATGCTTGTTTAATGAATAATGTCATGATATTTTTACAAAAGAACGCTCATCATCATTGAACCTACAATTTCTTTGTTTAACAACATGTTTATTTAGGCAAATTGAATCAATCGGTAGGGGCAAGTGCACAATATGCGGGTTCAGTCGAACCCAATAACTTTGGCTCAAACAACTGTGTATGAGTTAAGAAATCTACTAAACATGTACAAATATTAAATTCTGAACCCAGTAATTCACATGATCTATGAGTTCAGTACCATTCCAAAACCATAAACTTCAAATCCTGGATCTGCCTATGTAACATTGGAGTGGCCGTGCTATGGCTTAGGAGGAGAAGCCTCTGTTCCTTGCTTTTTATAGTTCTTGTTAGAATTTTTCTAGATGACAATGGTTCAGATTTATTTGTGCACTTTGAATAATCCATAAGGGGGTCTACTTGCTACTACAACCCTCAAGCATAGGTTCCAAATAGACCTACTCACCAAGTTTGGAGCACACTGTGCTTACTTTGAAACTTATAGCTGGGATTTGAACTTGGGATATCAGGTTCTTTCATGTTAGATTGTCAGAGTTATAGTGTAAGAGGATTACAAGTCTTTAAGTTGGATATTATTCAACATTAGACAAATCATATATCTATTTTATCTAGCACAAATATGTAGTTGTGGAGGTGCAATTGTTCCACAGCCACAGTATCTCCTATACTAGGTTTCTTGCGCACAGATCAACATTCTCTATATGGTTGTTTTGTATCATAGTTTCATCTGTTAATGTCTTATTCTGTTTAAGTAAAAGCTCGTCATTAGTAGCTGATAATATTTTGTATACATGTACATTTTGAGGTATACCAGTGTGCTCATTGCTTAGAATATTATTATCACATAAAGTTGTTGCCTCATGGATTTGGAGTAAATATTACAAATTCGAAATATCATTTTCATATTTAGTCCTTCTTTTAGAAGTAATATATTATGTCCAATATGGGTTAAGTTCATTACTCAGATTTTGAGAAGAACATGTATAATCAGTCAATCAATATTTGCTGCCGTGATCTACATTTATTTGGTTTCTAAACTTTGGAAGGATGACTGACCATCTCATTTTTTCTATTTATTTTTGGGGGAACAGGTCTTAGTTTTTCTGAATGATGTCCTCGACACTCTTTTGAAGGCACTCTCAGATCCCTCCGACGAGGTATTTTCCGCTACTATACTTAAATTTGATGTCTCACTGATTTAACCCTAATTGTCCAAATGTCGTTCTGCTTGAAACAATTATGTATAGCTGCACTTTTGTTGATTGGACCAACAGATATATCCATGTCTTTCAGCTTTTTGTGGCAGCAGACTGTGTTTCTTTAGGGATTCTATGAGCCATTTATTAGCTTTTGAGTCTTTATTTTGACTTGGGTATATGGGCTATGGCACTGGTTTGGTTCCTCTGGCATAGTTCCCCTGCAAAGTTTAGCTTTACAACTTCCTTTCCTTACCATGTAGCACCAACTAATTGTTCTTTCCTCATTTTTTTGATCTTTGAGATTATTGCCATTGTAGTCATCCTAGTTTCTTGATTTCCTCAAACCCATGTTTAATGGAATTTTAGTACATTCTGGATTCGTAACTGTTTGCTTCTTTGCATGATAACTAGACCATTTGCTGGTGGTCTAACTGGACTATGGCCTTTTGATCTATGTAAAATTTGGATGTTGTGTCTGTGTTCCGTTCCATGACTATCCTGGGAATAAATGCAAGTATAATCATTCATGACTCTAAATATTCTTCATATGGACTCCGAAATAAATGAGCATGATTAAACATAGTAGGCTACTTATTTGATAGAGGATTCTCTTTGGACCTTTTTCCTTACCTAACTCAACTTTTATTCTCAGAGAAAAAGAAAGATTTTGATGAATGGTCATCTTCCGCTTGTTCGTGGGTGTTTAAATGGTTATGTTTGGAATTGACTTCAGTTACTTCTGATTGATGTTGCTGGAACTTTTTGACTTATCAAAATCAATGAAGAACATTTTTGAGCTTTAAGTATAAAGACCTTTACTTGACCAAATAAGCTATAGATTGAAATAAACTGTCATCTATCCTGTTTCAGTTTTTCTTTTGCTCCTCCTTTTTGGTCGATGGGGTTAAAACTCTATTTTCCCTTTTTTTTTCCAGATTGGTAAAGTTTCTATTCTAATGAGTTGTGTATGGGAAAAAATTCTGAAGAGTTTTTCCGCCGAGTTTGCCAACGATATCATCTCTGTATGGACCAGCACATCCTTCAAACTGATTCCATCAAAATTTTCTCGTAATTTTCTGCCAGGTAGTGCTTTTGGTGCTTGAGGTGCATGCATGCATAGCTGAAGATCCACAATACTTCCGCCAGCTTGTTGTTTTCCTAGTTCACAACTTTCAGCTTGATTACTCTCTCCTGGAGAAGTAAGTATTGTTTGTTCAACTTTTAATGTGTCTATGTTTGCTGTATGCTACCCGATCTTAGTGTTTTAATTTCCTTTCAGACGTGGAGCTTTAATAGTTCGTCGGCTATGTGTACTTCTGGATGCTAAAAGAGTTTATCTTGAACTGTCCACAATACTTGAAGGGGAATCAGATTTGGAGTTTGCATCTATCATGGTTCAGGTTTTATTCTAATCATTTCACATGAGACTGACTATGCTAAATGTTTTGAAATAATGCAATGACAGAGAGATATTAGGCTTCGTTTGACTTAACTATTACCCCCTCCGTTTCATTTTATGTGAACCTGGCATTTATGAGGCTATAAAATCATGACATTACGGGTAAAATAAAAGTGTTTCTAAATATAGAAAGGTGTCATTTTTTTGGAACAAACTAAAAAGAAAAGATTGTCAAATAAAATAGAACAGAGGGAGTAATAATTATTGGTATCAAAGAACTGTCCAGCTCAGTCTTTTGACTATGCTTGACAGTGTGTCTCAGAATTGATATATGTTTTAACGCTGTAAATTTCCATAACCTGTGTGTGCTTCTTTTTTGTTTCAGGCCTTAAATTTGATTTTACTTACTTCATCCGAATTGTCCCACCTCCGAAATCTTCTTAAACAATCATTAATCAATGCTGCCGAGAAAGACTTATTTCTTTCTTTGTATGCATCATGGTGCCATTCGCCGATGGCAATAATAAGCCTTTGCCTGTTAGTTCAGGTAAGACTGAATTTTTCTCATGGCTCTATCAAGCCGTTGCTCGTTTTATATTGCACTATATCAATGTGGGTCCATGTCTTTTTTTGGATTGCATTACAGGCATATCAGCATGCAAGTTCTGTTATTCAATCTTTGGTCGAGGAAGACATCAATGTCAAGTTCTTAGTCCAACTAGACAAATTGATCCACCTTCTGGAGACCCCGACCTTTGCTTACCTCAGACTGCAGGTATTTTGAAGTATTTCTCCTTTTATTGAGTTCTAAACGTAGAACATTGGATTCATTTCTAAACGTAGAACATTTCTAAAGCCACCACAAGTTTCGTCACCCTCTGATGAGCAAACCCTAGCGTATTGCTCCGTCAGACTCCATCGCTCGCGGATCCATCTGAAGGTCTTGCTCCAGCAAGTGCGTCAGGTTAACGTGCAGGCGCGTGAAGACTTTTCCGGGTATCTTCAAAGGCTGATCTCTTCTCCTTAAGGGTTGTCTACTCATTCCGAGGCAACCCATCCAATTTTCTATTGTCTCCGATCACCAGAAGTAGTTAGTACTTTAAGTTACTTTTCTGACTAGACCCATTCTTGTTCTTGGTACCAATGTTGGGTCCCTATGTCATGTTATCACGCTCTAGTTAACCAAGCCTGGGCGTGCCAGGGAGGAGGAAGTGGGGTTGTTATATTGTCCCAAATAGGTTGAGGAAATGGGTTGTTGTCTCTTTATTTGGTCTTGGAAAATCCTCACTTCATGAGCTAGCTGTTGGAGTTGAGTTAGACCCAATGTCCATTTCTTGTCAACCTATTTCTCTTTTACCCATTTCAAGATGCATGAGTTGTTCCCTTTATATGGTACAATCATAGTAGTGGTGCTCTGGCAAATTATTTTGTGATAGATGATGAGCAATTGAGATTGAGGAAAAAAGAAAATACATTTTTTTTCTGTTAGCCTTTAGGATTAAGTGCATTACATTCGTTTTTGGTTCCGAGAAGTACTTTTTAAAGTGTTCAAAAGACTTGCAAAAATTTACCTGCCTGGCAAATGAACAAGAAAAAAGAAAGAACAAATTGGAGTTGAAAACTCATGTTGTAACAGGTGGAACTCTTTTTTTAGTTGTCTTTGGTTATATAGAAGCTAGAGTTAATTGGATCAAACTCATGTTCTTGTTCGTGATGTCATGTACAAGTTAATTGTCTTTTTTCTTAAAAACTTTTTTTGAAGCATCTTAATGGTTATTTCCTTGCAGCTTCTTGAACCTGGAAGATACATATGGTTGTTAAAAGCCTTGTATGGTCTACTGATGCTGCTACCCCAGGTAATGATGCCGATTAATTCTCCTATCTGAGCACAATCTGAATTCGAGAAGTGCTAATGAAAGTCACTTGTAGATGTATAGCAGACATGTCCTTTCTTTTTTCTTGTCATCGTCATTCCTACTTAACTATCTGACATGGTGTGTGCTGTGAGAGCATGCTGATTACTGTTGGATGCTAAATATCCAGAACTACTCTTGGACATCCCATGGTTTATATGCGTGTGATTTTGTTTGTCTAATCTAAAACATTTTCTTGTCAATTTCGTGCAGCAAAGTGCAGCATTTAAGATTCTTCGTACTAGGTTGAAAACTGTGCCTTCATACTCCTTTAAGAAAGAACAATTAAGACGAACTTCATCTGGGAGTCCTTATTCTCAAAATAATCATGGGGAAGGTGGATCCCATTTTCCCGAGGATGGCAACCTGAATGAAAGTTCTTATGATATTCATAATGGAATAAATTTTTCTTCGAGACTGCAGCACTTTATGCAGATTCAGCATCAACATCGCTTGCATTTAAAGTCACAGACACACTCATGTTTTAGTTCTACTTCATCAACGAAGGTTTGCTGTGCTTCATACCATCTTCTTAATTTGCTTATACAATTTGAGTCCTGCATTAAGATGCTTACACCAGTGCAGACTAATTTTTTTGAGTCCTGCATTAAGATGCTTTACCTAATATATAGATTTCACAAAATTCTGGAAATTAGAAAAATATTTGAAATATTAAAATTCTTAAAACTAATTCAAGCATACCACAGTTGGTAGAACACTAAGTGCTTGATATATCAAGTAGAAAAGCAGTATCAGACATGACTACATCAAATTGTTTATAAATTACAAACCAATCACAGAAAACAAATTAGTATCTTTCAGAATTACTCATAGGCATTAATCAACCATTCAGACAAAACAAATAGTTTACAGATGTTAAACTACATTAAAATTGTCTGACGCGATTTGAAACAGTTGACACTGGTTTCTGTTGCCTTCTTTGGTTCTGACCTGGAGTCGTTAGCCTGGAATACGAGGTCTCTGTGCAGTTTCATATAATCCTCAAAGACAAACTTGGGATACATGAGTTTGTTCTGTTATTCTATTCATTTTTTATCAAGAAAGAATCTAATTCATGAATGAGACAATGATAAGGATGGGAATAGTTCAGGATGGGAGAGCAATAAACCAATAAAGCATATACACTGGCATTTCCATTTTTTCAGTTGGATGCCAATTTTGACCTTAATACATAGGTCTTTCGGTTGAGATGTCAATAAAATCATGGGAACTTTGTATGACCGGTGTGAAGATGAACCATGGTGTGAGCTAACAACTTTTGATATTTTAACCTTTTCTTTTGAACATTCATATGCCTTTTACATCTTTTCCGAACTTTCTGTTGGGGTGTGAAATCTCAGTTTTTAACTCTCTCTGTCCAGGAGGCACAAATACTGGAAGAATCTGAGCAACCGGCTCCAGCATCAGACTTGAATAGACCTCCTTCAAGATCATCATATAGAGGCCCGGGATAGTTGCAGCTTTGACAGTTTCTTCTGCTCCTCTGATCATAGAGCGACTTCATTTATTGTCTTGTGCTTCAACAAAAGCTTGGTTGAGCTCTGCCATTAGTTGTAAATTGTATATCCTGTTAGTTTAATTTGTCGAAAGATCATGAGGGTTGGGCTGGAAGAGGGGAATGAATATTAATCTAAGCTTGGATGTGGATGGTATTCATTTTTCAATGTGAAAATATAGTGGAGAAGTTTGCCCATGTGGTTCTATTGTTTTTGTTGAATACCATATGGGCAAACAAGTACATATGATTCAATTATGTGTATCTTGCACTTGTAAATGATTTATGCCTCGTCTTTTTCTGGGATTTATTAATTGGACCTGCAAATTCTTGAGCTACAGATTCATGGTGTTTTATCTTTGTATATTGAAACGGTCCTTTGATGGTAATAATATTAAGTGCAGTTGTTTCCGTCAAGTAGTTGAGTTTTCAATACTCATATCTTCCCATTTTACTTGTCAGTCGACTGTTTTGATATCAAAATTTCTGATATTTGAACTTAAACCTTGACAACTAATTCGATTTTGTAGTGGGACTTTAAGTAATAAAGTACTGCATAAAGCATTATATTTAAAATAGTAGTTCTCAATTTTTTTGATATTGGATATTATAAATTATATGTAACAGAGGATTCGTGAACGCTTTCCAATTGTTTTGGGTTTGAGGCTTCGTTGATTGACGTATATAGCTGAATTATTTTAGTTTAATTGTGTCAATTAAAGCTGGATAGAGAGTATTGAAAGGCCAACATCCCTGTGAATATAAAAATGGACAGATCACGTATTATATTTTATTCCCTCAAAACACGAGCCAGGCCATGAAAGAATTTATTCTGCAAAGTTATCTCTGGGACTTTCAACATATTTAAGCAATTGCGATCCAACTGAAAGATAAATATTTTAGATTCAATGTTGCCTACTTGCTGAAAGTGAAAATTGCCAGATTATAAAGTATATAATTTTTTTAAGATCCCACTAATCAACCATTGTCATTTTATATCACGCAAAACTCCTTAATTAATTGTGTGATCAATCTTGGTGCATGAATGGAGGGTAAAGATTTATCCGCATTCCTTTATTTATTCTAAATCAAATAATTTAATTTTATCAGTTAAATTAAAATAAGAATACATATTATTTAGGAAAAATACATAAAGACCCAATTAAATTTGTCCAGCAAATATGTTTGAACACTTAAACTAAACAGCTAATTTTTTACCCTCCTAAAAACATTGTGAGTGAATTTTATTCCATCCTAATAGCTGATGTGGCAAAAAGATAAAAAGAAAAAAAATAATTAAGCGTATAACATAATCTACACTATTAAAGCACGAAGGCATTTAACAAAATATCGTTTGCCTTTTTTACCCTTTAAAAATAAATTTCATACTAGATAAAATTGTTATTTAATTATTTTTCTAATATTTAAAACTTAGAAATCAACTACAATTTTAATTATTAAGCCTTTCCTTATTTGAAATATATAAGAAATTACCATATTTAAAGACTTTAAAATCAATTAAAATTTAAAGTTTATAAACTATTTCTTATTTAAACTAACTAGGTTTGTTGTTTTTGTCCTTTTTTTTTTGGGTTAAAACTGGATGCATTTTATAATTTAACAAACTACCCGTTAGGGTTTACAGATGGAATGTTTGTGGGTGGATATATCAAATCCCCCACTACCAGGCTATCGTTAGTAATATTATAATCCATAATTTGTCTTTCAAACACAGTTCATGTCATGTCTGCCCAAAATACATGCTTGACAAACACCGGAGGAACTGTTGTTACAAAAATATCTTCAAAAAAATTCCTGTTAGTGCCCTCCTTTGCCAGCGTATTAGCAACTCTGTTGGTCTCCCTATAGCTGTGCTTCACCACCACGGCGCCTTGTCTTTGGACGATTGACCTGCATTCATGAATAAGTGAGTCAAAGGGGAGGTTTCCATTGATTATCATTCTAATTACCTCTGTTGAGTCAGTGTTTATTTCCAAAGGAGTTAACTGCCTTTCTTCTGCAAGTTGCAGCCCTTTCAAAATGGCTAGCAATTCTGTATGAGTGTTAGTGATGTATTGGATGGAACCCATATAGCCAAGTACCCAATTTCCACTTGCATTTCTGAAGACTCCTCCTAGTCCTCCCCTTCCAGGATTTTCTGTTGCAGCTCCATCAGTGTTGAGCTTATAGTTTTTTTTTATGGTTTCCATTTTACCGAGATATTTATTTTGATTTTGGGTTCTTTATTTAACACGATTGTAACATATTCAGTAGTCTTAGCTATAGCACTTTTTGAGTCTACCCTTTCTTTTCTATTATTGAAGAGATTGTTGTTTCTTGTGAGCCATATTTGTCAGAAGCAGAAAGGGAGAAGCTCTTCCCAAGTGATGATGCTGTTATAATGCTCTTTCTTGAGGGATGTCCATGTGGTTGGCCAATCCCTAGTAGTGAAGGATGGTATAGGAGTATTGTTGTATTTTGTGCTTTGTAAGATGATTTCTTGCCAGAAGAGATTGGAGTTAGTGCATTCAAAAAAGATGTGTGATGAAGTCTCAATTGCCTGATTGCACAGGTTGCACATATGGTCTGTTTGTATTCCAACATGGTGGAGAAAGGCTCCAGTAGGGAGCATGTCATGGAATAGTAGCCAAAAAAAGGATTGAATCTTTTTAGAAACTTTCAGCTTCCAGATCCACAAAAAATTATGGGTCATGTTTTCTTGTCTTTGGTGTTGACAAGAATCCAGGAGTGAGTAGGCAGATTTTGTGGAATAGATTCCATTTGAGGAGGCTCCCTAGATCATTCTATCTTTCTTAATTGGGTTGGGTGGGATGAAGGTGTTATAGATGGAATTTTGGATATTTTGGGGAATGGTGAAAGAGAGTGTAGAGAGATCCCAAGTTCCATTATGATGAGCAGAGGCAATAGTTTTGGTCATGTCTTCTCTTGTCAGGGGACCTTCTATGAGGGACCTTATAACTGGGAGGTTGTTTATCCAAGGATCATTGAAGAAATTGACTCTGTTTCCTGAATGCACTACCCATCTTTTAGCTTTCATGCATGTTTCCCACCCTTTTAGGATGCATTGCCATGTGTGAGACTTGGCTTTTTTTGGGGGGATCCTCTAATTGCAGTGTTTTGCAATCAGAGTTTTTGCCCAGAGGGCTGAGGGATTTTGGTATAGCCTCCAAGCAAGTCCTGAATGAAGGGCTTTGTTTTTCAATTCAGCTTTCTGAATCCCCAGCCCCCCTTATCCTTAGGCATATTGACTATATCCTAGGAGACTAGATGCATCTTTCTTTTAGTAACAGTTGTGCCCTAGATGAAATTCCTCTGAATTTTATCAATCTCTTTGGTTGTTTTTGCTGGCAATTTGATGTATTGCATTACATGATTTGGGATTGAGTTCAGAAATGCTTTTGTCAATGTGGTTCTCCCAGTCATGTTTAGCATGGTTGTTTTCCATCCAGCCATTTTAGAGTGGAGATTGTCAGTGATGAACTGGAAATCACTATAAGTGGATCTTTTGTGGAAGATTGGGAAGCCCATGTATTTTCCAAAGTTTGTTGAAGCTTTTATGGAAAGGGTGTTTGAGATTAGTTCCATTTTATGGGGTTGGCAGTTTGCACTGAAACAGACTTTAGACTTGGTAAGGTTGATCTTTTGCCCAGATGCCAAGTTGAAAGAGTTGAGAGTATTCATGATTGTGTTGCAACTGGCTTGGTTAGCTGTTGCAAAAAGAGTTAGGTCATCAACAAAGAAAAGGCGAGATATTTTAGGGCCATTTCTGTTGATGTTGATGGGGTGCCACTCACCCTAGAGGACATTATTGTCAATGTCTATGGAAAGTCTTTCCATACATAGGATAAACAGGTAAGGAGATAGGGGATCACCCTGTCTGATGCCCCTAGTGGGTATGAAAGGATTGGTTTGCTTTCCATTAACAATTATAGAGATGGTGGAGGAACTTACACATGACATGATGAGTTTGATGATTGTGTGTGGGAATTTGAAAGCATGGAGGGTTTGCTTAATGAAAGACCACTCTAGTATGTCAAAAGCCTTCTCCAGATCAATCTTTAGAATCATGTTAGAGGATTTGCCTCTCATTTTTCCAAAGTGAGAGATCTATTCTTGGACTATAATGACATTGTCTGAAGCTTTCCTGTTGGAGAGGAAGCTAACCTGACTAGGCCTAATGATATGAGGGAGGTAAGGCTTGATTCTATTAACAATGATTTTTGTTACTGTCTTGTAGACAATATTACATAAGCCTGTGGGCCTAAAGTTTTTGATCATTGAGGCTTGTGGGCATTTAGGAATGAGGCACATGAGGGTTTCATTCTGACTAGGTTCATAACTGATGTGGAGAAACAGTTTTTGCAGAATTGGATGACATCCTTACCCATTATGTCCCAATATTTTTGATTGAAGAAAGGATGAAGGTCATCAGGTCCAGGAGTTGTGAAAGGCTTGAAGGAGAATATGGCACTTTTGATTTCACTATCCCTAAGTGCCATCCCAATTGTTGTTTGTTGAATCTGAGAGAGGCAATGCCCCTGGATTTCAGTGGAGGACAAGCCATTCTGTGATTGAGTGAGGGATGATGTATAAAGTTCTTGGAAGAACTTTGAGATTGATTGCTTGATTTCCCCAGGCTCAAACAACCACTGACATGAGTCATCTTTGAGGGAAATGATTTTGTTCATCCTTCTTCTATTTAGAGTAGAGGTGTAGAAGAATTTTGTGTTGGCATCTCTATCTGAGAGCCATTGTATTCTAGACTTCATTTTCCAAAAGTCCTCTTCATTCTTCAAGATAGAGTTAAGCTCCTCAATGAGGTTGCTTTCAAGGGTTTGCATTGAGGTGCTAGTGGGATAATGAGGGGATTTTTGAATCCCCGCTATCCTTGCTAGCAACCTCTTCTTTTTGTGGAAGATGTTTTCAAAGGTATGTTTATTCCACTTGAGAGCATTATACTTGAACAAAATGGTGGAAGGGATTAGGGTAGAATCAGGCTTAAAAGAATCCATAATTAGGTTTTGAAATAGAGGGTGGTTGCACCACATTAATTCAAACCTAAAGGGTTTATTGAGAGGAATGTGACTGTTATTGCTTAGATCGACAAGCATGGGGCAGTGGTCAGAATGGGTCCTGGGGAGGTGAGTAATGTTAGCTTTAGGGTGTTCATTTATCCATTGGTTATTAGCAAGACACTTATCAATTCTTTCTAGGATTAGACAAGACTTATTTTTGTACCTCTTGTTTGATCAATTTTATTTACTACCTTTAAATCCTAGGTATACAAGGTGACAATTGTTGATACAATTCCAAAAAGAG